AGACCTTTTGAAGTAGGTGCAGGTTCATGGGAATGCTGTTTTCCCCACACTCCCAGCATTTCTGTGATAGCTTGAAGCAAGACAAAGCTACTGCTCCCAGCATGTCCATGGGGAGCTCCCAATTAAGGCAGATGTACTGCTTTTGCTAGGCTGCCAGTCACACATTGGAGATTTCATCATGATTCAGGCACAGACTCTTACTGCAGTCCCTAGAAAGAAACAGTAAAGTGCAGAAAGGCGTTTTCTCTTCTAGCACTGCTTGCTCCTAAAGAGAAGTCTTAGTTTTCTGCATCCAGCAGGCAAAGCACAAAATCCCTAAATGTGAGGGAATTAATCTTGCTCGCCAGTGTTCTACTGCATAGGCAGGATGAAGTTTATAGAGACAGAATGATAATTACACAGAAAAAGAAGAAAGAAAGGAGGATGCTAATGCTGTGAAACTTTGAACAAAGCTGTGAAATTCCCTTTGGAATTCTCTCCAATATCCTCCTTGCTTAACCTCAAAAAAGCTACTGTTGATAGAATCTTCATATTTATTAAGAACCATCTGGATGGAGGCTCTGCCCTTCCTCCTTGAGCACTTCCTTTAGTTTATGTTCACTTCTGGTGATAGTGCAGATATGTCATCACCCAAGCTGATGAACGCATTGAACAACAGAAAGGACTATGATCCAAATGCTCTAGAGCATCCCTAGAAATAATTTCCAGCTCTTCAGGTCCAGCACACAGATCCCTCTAGTGTACCAGTCTTGCTTCTCAGACTAAAGCCAAAACATGGCTTTGTACCAGCTACTAGGAAGAAAAATAACTCTGTCCCAGTTGAAACCAGGACAACCAGTCTCTTGCTCCCGGAGCATGTACCTAAACTCATTTGTTTAGTCTGTCTTACATAGACCAGGTGTCCTGGGTTCAGCAGTAGCAGCCATTTTTCTCCTTCTGGGTAGCTGGTGCAGTGCTGTGTTTTGACTTTCAGCTTGGGAACAGAGCTGATAACAATGATGTTTTGGTTTGGCCAAGGACTTTGTGAGCCTCATGCTCTGCCAGGGAGGAGGGGAAGCCAGGAGGAAGCAGAGACAGGACACCTGACCCAAACTGACCAAAGAGGTATTCCATACCACAGCACGTCATGCCCAGGAGGTAACTGGGAGTTAGCCGGAAGGGCTGGGAGTCTGCAGGGTTGGAGGAGGTATCAGTCGGTGCTTGGTTGGGCCGGGGGTGTGTGTGTGTGTGTGTGTGTGTGTGTGTGAGTTATCGGTTGGCTGGTGGTGAGGTGATGTATTCTCTTCCCTTGCTATTTCCTTTATCATTATTATTATTGGTGGTAGCAGTAGTGATTTGTGTTATACCTTAGTTACTGAACTGTTCTTATCTCAACTCGTGGGAGTTGCACTCTTTTTGACTCTCCATCCCTCCAGGAGTAGGGGGAGGTCAAGAAGGGAGGGGAAGTGAGTGAACAAGTTGTCTGGTTTGGTTTAAACCACGACACCAGGCTTGTAGGAAGAAGACTGTCTTGATTTGGTATTTGATTGCATATGTTTCATGCAGTCTGTGAACTTCACTTTATTCCTTCTGAGAGGAGCTGTGGAAGAGCTGTGCCAACACAGTGTTATGGGTACTACCACTCTGGCCTGACAGTATCTCAGTTGTTCACTTCTGTTCAAATGCGGCATCTCCAGCCACTGCTCCTCTGGGAATCTCTCCCAAGTATGATGTATCTCCTATACCTAATCCAAGCAATGATGCTCGGTTACACACTTGGTAACAGGGCTGTTTCTGTGACAGGCCACATGTTATTGCCTCAGCTATTGCCTCAGCTACAGACTGGTGCTAGGGGAAAAAAAAAGAATTGAAAGCTTGCATAAGAAAGCAGTGGAAACACATTACTTAGAACACACTTGGACGGACAGTCTAGCTCTTGCAAAGAACAACGGGGATTTATACTGCGGGTCTGAGAGAGAACAGTCCTTCCAGCAAATAGGTTGGTGATAAGGCAAAGAGGTAACACAGTTCCTGTGGATCTGGGTGCACACCCAGCCAAGATGAGACTCGCACTGCACCAAGAACTGAATTCCCAGGGATTTTCTCTGCATCTCCAGAGCAGACTTCCTGAAGACAGGGCAGACACTTATGAATATCATCACTGTCCATCAGATGCGCTTGGCTGCTAGGAGATGACAGCTTCTTGTAAACATGCATTCATTCTCAATATGCTCTACCTTACCCTCAGGTCAAGCGTTTCCTCAAAAAGCCTTTCCAAACCTTGGTATAAAGGTTGCTTTCTTTCATTTAACATAACCACAAATTCAGGAAAAGAGTGTATTTAATGGACACTATCAGGAGAAGAAACTTCAAGCCTGAGTAAACCTAACCTAATTCTAACCACAGACAGCATGGAATCATATGGATCAATAGTTTATTTAAATAATCAAGTCAAAGGCTTTTTTTTGTTGTGGTTTTTTTTTGTGCGTTTGTTTTTGTTTTTTTTTTAATTAAGCATCAGCTGAGAGCCAACTGCATGACAAGTGCAAACCCACAGAGCTTTCAGGGGAGAAGTTTTGAATGAACACACTTATTTCAGACATCACACGTTTCTACTCAGGTGTAAGCTTAGCTTCTCAAATCAAATTAATAGGGTCTTATTTCATATGGACATTTGCTTTTGCCTAATCCTTGACTAACGCAAGGAGAATGCAGCAAATACAAGAACTTTAGGCTCCTATTTCAAACTAGCCCTTACATCTGGTTTCCAGAGTTGATCAAGAATTACAGTACATTGGTAAACAAGGAATAACTGACAAAAAGCTGTTTTGCTTTCTCTCTCTCCTAAAATGCATTCTGCTGAAGTATGCAAATTCCCCCTGTCCAGGATTAAGCCGTGTGAAGTACATTCAGAAGGGCTTCATGAGATTAGTTAAACTAAATGGATAGCATATAACATTCTTATGTTCATCAGACAGCACAGCTAACAAACAAACACAACAAACAGCCGTAAACATTTTGAGGCCAATCAAATTGCAGTCCAAAGGTCTTCCTTAGAAATAATAAATACATAACATAACTCACATGGGAAATATAAACTGAACCTTCAAAAACTCTCCAAAAAGATGCCTTTGGATTTTCATTTGTCAAGTAAAATACAAAGGCAACATCCATGCAATTAAAAGCAAACATAAAACCACGTTTGAATATAATGGAATATAACCTAACCTCAGCAAGGTTTATGGAAAGACTTTCTCTATTTCTACCAGCATTAGGACAAGATGACTGGAAACCAAAAACCTAGATCTCAAAACATTGAAGATCTTCAGGAAGATTTCAGCTACTGGCTTAATCAAATGCATATTCAGAACACTTGCTACATTATACTCAATTAAACCCCAGTTTCAAAAGTGCCCTTAGCATCTTTGAGAGCTCCTCCTGTAATAACATACAAAGCAGATATAACAGCTTAGTCACTGCACCAAACACCAAGGGTGTCCTACAATTGCAAGCGTACACAAATTTCTGCCCCTTAATTTAGTTGAGATATCTAAAACGGTTCACTAAAACATCCTATTCATTATGGCTAATCTTGAAAAGAAGATAGAATAAGCTCCTACCCTAATCACAGGAAGAAAGAAATCAATGCATTGTCAGCTTCATAATTAAAATTACAAACTTTCATCACTGCTGTATAAAGAACAACAACATATCGGGACTAGTATTTCCCATAATTGGGTGGATGCCCATCCTTGGGAATGTGAGGGCTGGGTGGGGCTTGGATCAACCTGGTTTAGTGGAAGGTGTCCCTGTCCGTGGCAGGGGGATTGGAATTAGATTACCTTCAAGGTCTCTTCCAACCCAAAACATTGTATGATTCTATTTTTTTTCTGAGAAATTAGTCAACTAGAATAAACAGATTTATCCCAATGTGAAATAAAAACTCCCAGCTGGTCTGTAAGATACTAAAAACTTCCAAACAGTATGTCACTTCCTGTGGCTCCCTTCAGAAATGCTATTTAAGAAAAGAAAAATAGGAACACTTGCATGAAAAAAGGACCTTTGCATCCAACAGCCTCATCTTCCCCCACTGATTAATTTTTTCTGAGGGCAGGAGCTGCCAATAGAAAAGGAAAGCATACAATCACAACTTAAGTGGGCACAAGAGTGACTTTTACCTCATAATGAGAAAAAGAGGACCTGCTGTACAAATCCAGGAAATGCACACTTGATCTGCATAAAGATGTGTGTCGACTGAGTGAAATAGTCATAAATTAGGAACACATGGCCCCATAACCCAAAAAATTTACAGACTGCACAGCCAACAAATAGGAAATGGATGAAGATTGTATGAGGAAAATACAGCCACATAATTAATGCCTGGACAAGCAATTCGAACAGTCAAAACTGCTCCAACAATGCCACCTTTAACCACCTCTTTATGTGACAGAAAGAAAGGATGCTACCAAGAACAGCATTTCAAGGCTCACAGGTACCATAAAGTGTCTCATTTTGGTCAAAAAAAAAAAAAAAAATTCCATGCGAGAAGTGAGAAAGGAAAGAAGGAATCTACACAAAGATGTAGCTTTGCACCTTCCTTGTCCAAAAGAGGGAAAACCAGGAACTCTGAATCTGATCAAGGGGAAAAAAAGGCCATAAGCAAACTGACCAACTTTTTTTTAGTGAACTAACACAATGTCATTCTTTCGGTCATCCCTATCATGTACACAGATGAAAGCCTTGACATTGTCAAGCTGAGCACTACACACTTTAACTCCCATTGCTCACAGTTTCATCTTTCCACATGACAGTACAAACCATCTATATTCAATAGTGAGGTCCAGAGCAGTATTTCTAGATAACAAGGCACATGCAGGTACACGAAAAGCCTCCACAGTATTTAGTGTTGACTGAGCATCTTCTGAAACGTGGTTTTGTGTGCTAAAGAACATTCCTGTTTCACAGCAGCTGTAATATCCATGTGAACTGCCATGGTCACATGTTCAGTTGTCTTTTCTTACCAGTCATGATTCTCTGGGCTTCATATGGTTCCATATAGCCAGTATTCTCCCCTTTTCCAATTCTGTTCAACTCACTTTTGGCATCATATGGATCTGAATAGTCATCAGCTATCAATACCTGAAAGACAGGAAAGTAACTGTTATTAGAATCTCCAGTCAGATGGCAGTAACACCTTACCAGGAAAAAAAACAACCCAGTTTCACACAGCTACATGCTACGCCATCTTCTAAGCACAGTCTGAGTTCAGAGGACAAATATACAGCCTCCACAAATCAGTTATTAAATGGTGTTGAAGTAGAAGTGTACTCCATACCAGAAACCTCACGAGGCAGACTCTATGTCAAAGGGTTTCTGACTAGCACAAGATATGGAATAACTGGGATGCACAAATTAGAAAGATCCAATCAGTCCACATATTCAATCCAATGCAACTCTTATCAGAGAAGGTTGCTAATATTCAGGAAAACAAAAACAAACCACACTTTCACTTACTTCACTCCCTGTTTTTAAGTATATCAGCTACAACTGAAAATATTGCTAAAAACTTTCCAAATAAATACTCAAAGGCTACTCTTTTCACTAAATTAATAAAAAGATTTTTAATTCTAGTTGTCAGTTGAAAAGGAACAAGACACGAAGTACACTTCTTGTTTAAACTTAGTTCCCTGAACCCATCTGTGCCATTCTTTCAAGGGAACATTGTATTTACCTGTATTTTGTGAACTAGAACAAAAGGTAACAAAAAGAAATTATGTGTCAGAAGAAGAAATTTTCCTGTAGTTTAGAAAATCTTAATCCCTACCCTTCATTATCATAGCCCTCTGACCCCTGCACAATCATTGTATGCTGTGTAAGTCTCACTCGTTATGGAGGCTTTTAAATCAGTTGATTAAAGCAACAGGAATCATTCCTCCCTGTTTTTGAAGGGGTAGAGTTAATCTGGGTTTCTAGAAGCTGGTAAGGAGCAGAGCAAAGGAAAAAGTCCTCGTATGAGAATTACTGCAGAGCACAGAGATGTTATGTAGGACAGGCAAAAGAGACTGAAGCAGAGAAAGCAGAGGCAGGCCTCAGCACCAGAATACCCACAGAATCATAAAATAATTCAGGTGGGAAAAGACCTCAGGACCCCTCACTCAAAGCAGAGCAAGCCTAAGAGGTTCTGCCCAGAAAGTCTATTCTCTTTAACAGGGATTCTTCACCCAAGATTTTTCCTTTCCCACCAGTTACTTTACATCTTTAGGAGCAGAACTAGTAAGACCAACAGCTTCAATCTTACCAACTAAGAGCAGGTTGCACATTGCCAGCTAAAAGACTGACGCTGCATCTGGCTCTGTCTCCTGCCGCCAGCATATCCCACCACACAGAGCAAAGAGCAGGAGACACACGTACTTCTAGATCAAAAACCTGCACAAAGGCCATGGAGTAAACGAACACTACTGGGAAATGCAGAGATTTCCTTTAATATTAGTGAACAAAACATCTAACACAGTCAGGCCCTGCAACACTGTGACTTTCTACTACTTATTTTTATTACCGAAAAGCAAACCAAAAAAAAAACCAACAAAAACCTAAATAAAAATAAAGGAAAAAGAAAACCTCCCCCAAACCCAACCATCCAAACAAAAAAACACCAAACAACCCAGTTGACCAAAAAAATCCCACATCCCTCACCATAAGCTCCCAATCCCTGACTACAGATCACATACAAGCACATCTGAAAGAAGGGACATTTTAGAAGATGCATTTGTTATGACAGAACTCACAGCTGTTAAGTGTCAGAGCAAGACTCAGCTGCCCTACAGTCACAGGTTAACAGCTGGGATATCAAAGTACCTGGAATTGATGTTTTAACAGTATATTAATTTTGCTTTCCTCCACTCCATGTTTAAATTGACTGAAGTTTCTGTTTGACCTGAAACCACCAGGCTGACCTGGATAATAGTGGGAGGAAAAAAATAATCCTTTCTCTCATTCACTGTCCAAAATTACTGCCTTATTATTGCAAAACCCAGTTAAACCAAAGGAAAAAAGCCCCCTCTCCCATGTCTGGTGACGTATCCCCAAGCAGCAAATCAAGTGACAGCAGCTGCAGACACTTAAGTCAAAGACAACAATGCATGTCAGGCAGCAGTAATTTCTCCTAGTCATGAGGACAGATTTATGTCCCAAAGTGCTGCAGCTAGAATGCTATCCAGTCTTCTGATGTAATCCTGTCAAGAGCTGCTGGGTGGTAGTATGGGCTCTGTGCTGCTCTCCCACTACAAATGTTGGCAAGTAATACTTGGCAATCCTTAGCATAACTGTACTATAACATGAAACAGAAAAGATTTGAACAATTTCATTCTTATTTCTTCTTCTCCATTTGCAAAAAAAAAATACTAGGAGGAAAATCACACATATATAAATATGCATAGTATCTGCATACAGAAAATGCTGTCAAACAAGATAAAAGCCAAAACTGATTTGCTTTAAGCATAATGGTAACCTATTCAAGAGCTTTACTGTACCAAACATGAACAGAAGGACTAAAGCAACTAATTTATTATTCAGAAGAGGTCAAAAAAGCAAAAGCTGCTTTCTAACAAGGAAATTGAAAAAAAAAGTAAGAAGGTTCAAATCCACATTAACTTATTCTTGTTTTTATCATTATTATTGTTATATTTTATTGCCTGTAAATCCATACCAGATCGACTGTGACTGGAAATATATTCACTACAGTAATCCCTGGAGTGAAAATCTCTCAGTTTACTTAAAATAGTGGGTGTAAACTCTTCCCCTTCAAATAAGTAATAGTGTCACAAGCACTGTGAGAGTCTATACAGCTCACCATTACTATGTTTTCAATCAGGTCTCCTATCAACTTTGTCAGACTGGGCAAACTTTCTCCTCTGAATAACCACTCAAAAAAAACCTTCCCTGAAAGCAATAACAAAATAACAAACAAACAAATCCCAAACCCACCTCTCAGCACTCAGTCAGACAGAAAGAGCCATCTGATTCACCTTCCAGAAGATGCGTATCAGTATTTCCTTTATTAAGAGTAGCTTCACAGCTCTGAGCTGTCTGAGGGCTTCCCAGGTAACTGTTCCCATATATCTTAAAATTTACTAACTCTTAGCTTCAGTGCCAACATTTCATTTCTTCTGTACTTGCTAACAGCTATAATTATCCCTGTCTAGGAACATTCAAGTTTTAGTACCTCTTTCAAAAAGAAGCTTTCATTCAAAAAGGCTTGAAAACCTCATATGAGTATGATTGTTAGTTCTATTATAACATACCTACTGCAAATGTCTAAACTCTAAACTTCTATTCGCAACCCCATTATGGAAGATTTCTCCTGTTCTCTTAGGAAAAAGAGCTCCTACTCTGCAAGACTTTGTGCCATCTTCTCACAAGTTACTTTTACATTAGCAAGCTTATCTTCCAAGCCTACATGCAGTAGGTCAGACAAAATCAGACAATGTACCAGCAGTCTTTTGAGGAACTATAAGGTTCTGATTACAGGAGTTTTCTATTCATGGTACAGATAATAAACATTTTCTTCATGCCGGAGGTATGAATATGTTGTTCCCATACCCCTTTATGCCATCCTCCCAAAGCACAAGCTTGCCAACGTTACATGGAGGCTCTGTTCACAAGTCTGTGAGTAATTCCAACTACATTCCTTGCATGTCCAGTGGAGCTCTCCAGATCACAATCTTAAGCATTTCCATGCCATGTGGTGAAGATCTAATGTGAGAGCTTCGTGCTGTCAGCTGTCCCCCATGGGCATGTAGAACAGGCATTTGCATGTGACAAGCAAAGTGTCTCCAAGTATCTCAAGTAGCCAGGCTACCCAGGATCTGATGCTGTACCTGCCACATAGATGCAATCAGAGGAGTGGTGGCATGCTGAGGTTTTGTAACTGCAGGGTAGAGAGAGCTTTCACACAGAGTCTGACGTTTGGGGCAGGACAACAGTAAATTTCTCTCTGCCTAATCCTGTCAAGTTTCAAGTGGGTCCTACCTTTCAAAATGAATCACAGCTATCAGGGAATCCCCAGAGAGCCTCGGGAAGCTGTTCAATTTCAAAATTCATGTCTCAATTTGCTGCATTAGTCAGGGATATTTTTAAAAAACTGTGGCTTATCTCTTAATAGAATGCAAGTTTATCATAGTGAAGTGTGAACTGCTACAACTCCTACAACTCCTGCTCTATACAAGCCCTTCCTTTTTGTATCCCTTATGCATGATAATATTTTCTATCATGTAGATCTAGTAATAGTAACTTGAGGCATGAGTAACTTCAAGCTAACGGAACTCCATAAATAGAAATGCACGGATCAAAAGTAAGTGAAACTTGCATTTGAGCTTCCACAATCAGAGAGCTCAACAAGGATTTAGGGAACACTCACAGGAGTTCTGCCTAGCAGGCTGTTAAAACTCAAAGGCAAAAGAAAAGGAGTAAGGCTCAGTTACCAAACAAACTGACAACTGCAAAACCATAGCCCTAGCTAAACTGTTAGAGGTACAAGATCAAAAAATCACAAGCTCCCCCCTCTCCCACCCCCAAAAATTAAATACAAGGTGAGATTCTGGTTTTCTCCTTTAATACAAATGAACTAAAGTGCAAGCTTCACTTTGCTTTTTTACAGTCGAAAAATACCACTTAAGACCTAACTATATTATTATATTAAATACAAGTTTAAGCAAGAATTTGCATACACAAAGGCATGATTTGCACATGCTGCCAGAGGAAGAAAACAACAAAAAAAAACAAACACCAAAGTAAACCAAAACCAAACCAACCAAACAAAAAACCCACAAACAAAACAAAACAAAAAAGACATAATCTTTCAGATACCTCTATGTGAGTTACATTTTAAAGGTAACAAACAAAAAAGAAAAAAACGAGATCTTACCACACTGAAATAAACTGATTCTTTCTGGATAACCCTTCTCTGAACTGAAAGAAAATACGAAAGATCTACCCTTGAAACAGATACTTTAGCACAGAACTGTTTGTTACTTGATTTAGTGGCTATAATGATTAAGCACACACTATTCTGGAAGCATCCAAGAAGAATTATGCTAACTGGCACGAAACAGAAAAACAAAAGACCTTTCCTGCCAGACAGA